GTAAGTCTGAGCAGATGCGGTGCACTTATCTTTCTTTTTGGCTTCAATTCTGAGGTCACAGGGAGCCAAAGGAGGAGAAATCCAGGGTTACATCCTCCAACATTAAGTGATTGCACAGGCAAACTTATTCTGCTTGTAAGCTATTTACTTTGAAAAAACAGCAGTTCCCAAGGAACATTAGAGTTTTACATTTAAGATTGAAAATGGAGTAAGTGATGGTTACACAACAAGGATGTGGAAAAGCTTGAGTGAGTCCAGAGAAGAGCCACCTGTATGATCAGAGACTTGCAAGGCAAGTCATACGAGGAAAGGCTGGGGGACTTTGGTCTCTTCAGCCTAAAAAAGAGAAGGCTGAGTGGGGACTTGGTAGCAGCTTACTGCTATATCAGGGGAATACATCAAGGACTCGGCGAATAACTGTTCACCAGGGCACCCTTGGGGAGAACCAGGAGTAATGGCCACAAACTCCTGGAAGACAGTTTCAGGCTTAACACTAGGAAAAATTTCTTCTCAGTTAGGGTGTTCAGACTGTGGAATAAACTCCCTCCAGAGGTGGTGCAATCACCTATCCTGGAAATCTTAAAGAAGAGATTGGACAGTCACTTCGCTGGGGTCACCTGACCCCAGTTGTCTTTCCTGCCTAGTGCAGGTGGGCTGGACCTGATGATCTTGTGAGGTCCCTTCCAGCCCGTTACAATCTATGAATCAATGAATGTATGGTTCAGGAAGGGGACTACTCTTCCAAAAATCTAAGATCCTTTCTCACTTTAGAGAAAAATTTAGAGAATCACAGATCCAAACAAGTATTAGGCTTCTAACTTGCATTTAGGTGCTTAAGTCCCCTTTTCTCTAGGCTCTTTCCATTTTTTTAGGCCTTTAATCTTTGTGTGTGTCAGACTTTTGTCTGTAAAAGGGGAATAATAATCCTTTCTTTGTCTGTCCAGTGTAATTAAACTGTAAATGCTTTGGGACCAAACTTTCCCTTACTAAGCATTTATACAACTAGTGTAATAGAGGTTTGAATAACCAGGGGGTGTGTCGACACATTCATTAATGTGCTGTAATTATGGCACATTAAGTTTAGTACCTGTAATTACAGGGTACCTGTACATGAGAGTGGAGGCTGCTCTGATGCACTGTAATTACAGCGCATCAGAGGAGACTCAGTTAATTGAGTCTACTGAAGCATGTTAATTATCATGCTTCAGCAACCTCCCCCATCTCATATCCTCATGCTTAAAAATGGTGGTGGGGGTGCTTGAACTAAAGTTTGTCAAATGACCTTTAGTTCAAGTGCCGCAGGTGCCATATTGAAGTGTGGGGAAGCTGATACAGGAGACACTGCAGCTCTTTAATTCACTGCCCCCCACATGTAAAAATTCCCACAGGTATTAACTTAATGCACTGTATTCTGTGCTCCTGCACAGTAGCACTGGAACATGGGGGTTTTTTTTGTGACACTAATGTGCAGTAGGCTAATTCTATTGCACATTAGCTCGTTAGCATGGCTTTTGCCATGACACGCTAACACACATTGGAATTAGCCTACTGCGCATTTAGTGTCTTGTGTAGACATGCCCAGGTAGTATGTGAATACAAACAAAAATATTTCTCCTTGTTCAAAAAGGGCTTGTGAATTCTTCATGCTAAGCAACAATGTTCTAGAATTCACTATTAGGGAAAGCTCACATGCCCTCCTGTTCCTCCATCGTTATTCAGGAGACATTCATTTAAAGCTATGAGGGACAGAAGAGGGTATAGATGAAATAAGAAGAAAAGGTGAAGCCAAGCCAAAAGTAACATGGAAAATTTTAGGAGGACAATGGTTTCTCCTTCTAGTGGGTTTTCCCTCTATTGTGCTCCTCTACTGGAAGGCATCTCGTTCCTGCCACTCAGAAATTGCAGAGGCTATTACCTGCCTGTTAGTGAAAAAGAATAGTCTCTCCATTAGTGTATTTCACTTATATTAGAGAAAAAAGATGTCATTAGGCAGATTTTTCCACTTAGTAGGAGTGGGCATTTTTTTGTTTAGTGTACTTTCACAAGGGCCATGAATCTCCAGTGTGGGAGTTTTTTCCAACCAATTTAACCAGGAGTTACACCTCCCTCCCCTTTCTCCCAACTCCTGGTTAATATTTTCTACGCAGGTGACTACTTTTCAGTAAGTGGGCAAAGCTGTTTCCTATAGAACTTTGTCTGAAAGGCCAGAGGCCTCAAGGAAGCAAAAATTATGTTGCATTTTCTGGGCTTAGTCCCCAAAGAATATCTCTCTTCAGCCAAATGTTCCTCCTGCCATTATGCAGGTATGCCAGGTAAACTTGCCACACAGGTAGGTGCTGGGGCCCCCGATACTGTGGGTGTGGGCAAAGGGCACAGTTGAATTGAAGTTTTCAACCAGCTAAGAAACCCACTGGACTCTATTTTTTCCCCCAGGATTTTCTCCAGCAGAAGCAACTTGTCCATGGTGACATCGCTGCCAGGAACGTCTTGCTCCAACATGACTTCACTGCCAAACTCTGTGGGCTAGGCCTAGCCTATGAAACCCACACCTATGGGGCCAGGTCCGTCACACAGATTGTGCCACTCAAGTGGCAGGCACCGGAGCGACTCCTGAAGAGACCTCCCAGCATCAAGGCAGACATGTATGATTTTCGAGGAGGGGTGAAATCTCCCAGGGCTGTCAGACCTGACTTATTTACTTTACCCTCCATGCTCGGACATCCAGTGTAGAGTGATTAATTACCAGTTCCATCGTATGACTCAGGCCCTCTCTCCTACCAATCATCTCTCTAGCTCATATCCCCCCCCACAGCCCTGTATCATTATCGTGCATTTTATAATTAGCTACCTTGCTTTTTCATTTGCTCTCAGACAAGAATGGGAATATAACACCTAACATTGTAACTGGAATTTTGTTTTTCTTGCAGATGGTCCTTTGGAATCTTACTGTATGAGATGATTACATTAGGTAAGGGACTAACTAAAACCCTAAGGGAGGAAGGGACTGAATATCTTAAGACAAAAATTAGGGCCATGGAAGACTAAAGTTAGGTATCTAAGGCTAAGAACAGACATTGCAAAGAACTCAGAAAGACCACAACAGGTCCGAATGCATGTAACACTATGGATTCCTATTTGAAATCACTGTGTTTATTTTGTGAATCATATTTGCACACTTAACAGTGCTAATAATGTGTGGCCCTGAACAGCACCCTTTCAAAGATCTCAAGTCACCCCAGGGTGCTGCAGCACCTTGGCTGAGAATTGTTCTATGCTGTCAGGCCTCTGACTGAAGTTCTGTTGTAGTACCTGTGATGGTCTCTGACCCACAGGACGCATCTACACAACATGTTTACTGCAGAGTAAACTAATGATTTCTGCAGTAAACATCTCAGCATCTACATGTACAGGGCTATTAGGCTGGAGTAAACCCTGCAGTAGTGTATGTGTAGATGCTGACCCATCTAGCTGGTATGAGGATGCTTTAGTGAGGGGGCTGCCTGCTGGGAAGCCCTGCACTAAAGCACCCTTGTGCCCCAGCCAGCCCTTCTGCAGTATATTGAGCAGCATTGGAGCTCCCCTGGGCTGGCAGGATGAACCCCTGGACTCCCTGCCACCTGGAGTTGCTCCAACCTGGCTCAATGTGCTGTGGTCCTGGATGCATGTGAAGATATGGCACCCAGGAGCAATAAAATCTGGCATGATAAGCACTAGAGTTTATTGTGTTGTATTAATATGCTTGTGTAGATACTCCCACAGAGAAGCATTTAGTGTCTGCAAGCTTGTCTATCTTTTCCTAACTAGACAGATTGTCAAATTATATTAGGTTGTTTCACCTCACAAATCAAGCACCTGAATTTCATCTTTAGCCAAATTAAATCCCTACTATTGGATGTTGCTTGTGCTCTGTGCAATCATCTTATACAGCCATCAGATGTCACCCTTGCACAACCTGTCATTCAGTCAGAGAACAGTTCTTAGAAGGGGCTGGGGAAACTTAGTTTAGAGCCTGGCTTGTCTTCTGTGTGTGTGGGGGAGGTGGGTTTTTTTGTAGGAGCTGGACTCTGGTAATTGTTTTCCATTGTGTTATTTGTTTCCATTCTCAGGGGCTCCCCCATACCCTGAGGTGCCACCTCCTGACATCTTGCAGCATCTGCAGAGACGGAACATCATGAAGCGGCCCTCCAGCTGCCAGCCAGTCATGTAAGTGTGGAGCTTATCACATGAGAGACTGAAGTAGGGACCTCCACAGGCAAAAGTCTGCATTGTTACAGCATAGGAGACAGCTCTGGCATTGGGGCTGTGACAGTTCACATCCTCTGTGGACTGGGAAGAGAACTTTTGTGGGAAAAAATATCTTTTGTATTCTCATTCCTGGCTTCTTTTTCTTTCTTGCAGGTATGGCATCATGCAAGCCTGCTGGCAATGGAATGCAACTGACCGGCCCTCCCCTGCAGAGCTGCTCCAGTACCTGCAGAAAGCAACTGAGACCAGCAATGATCATGCTGTGCTGCAGGTGCCTGAACTGGTGGTGCCTGAACTATATGCCAATGTGGCTGGCATTGATGTGGACAGTCTTACCACCGACTACACTGTTCTGTGAGAGGGAGGTCTGTGCATATAGGAAGGAATGGATCTCCTGCCTCTTTCTGGGAGTGTATGCTACCACTCTTGCTGTAACTCAGGGTGCTGGTTGGGAAACATTCCCCTCTTTTTAAAATGCAGAACATATTTTGGGTTCCTTCTGCTTGAAGCTACTTAGTAAGAACTGCGAGGGTCTCGTGGTTCACCACCGTGGACTTCAAAAACACATCCTATGGTACTCAAACTCTTCTGTATATTGTGATCAGCTACCCTGAAGGACACATGAGCCTGAAACAGTTGTTTTCATTGGCTCATGGTGGTGTTCAGTTAGGAAGCTGAACAGTTGTTTTCATTGGCTCATGGTGGTGTTCAGTTAGGAAGCTGAACAGAATGCTGCTGGATATTTGAGTGGAAGACATTTACAACCCAGAAGCACTCCCACAGCATGAAGAGCATTTAGATGGTAGAACAATTTCTGTCAACCTTGACCTTTTTCCATTTGTGCAGCTGAGGAAGAAGAAGCAGCTACCTGCAGCTCTGGCAGGTATGCAGCGAGCACATGAAGGCTGCCTACATGTATTTTCAGAATACAGATACCAAGGGTGGAAAGGAATTGTTCTTGTTCCGAGGAATGTAATTGGAAAGAAACTGAATGAAAGGGAATGAAAGGAAAACTGATGCTGACAATCATGAAACATTTCCAAAATGGAAGGGTTTTAGGACATCCTGCCAAAGGAGTGTTGGAAGCTCCATTGCTTGGATATTTAAAAGATACCCTGTAGAATAAAATTCAGCATCCAGCACTGCAGGGACCCAAGAGATAAGAAAGTGGATGGATGAGATGATAATCAAATAAGTATATTTTATCTCATTTATTGACTGAAGGGCCATCCCATTCAGACCACTTGTGACACTGCTCGTTAATTGTTCCTCAGGTGCTGTAAGCCATAGCCAAATGCAGGAAAATGTGCACTTTTATTGTGATAAGACAAAATAGCCATGTGTTACGGTTTGGAATAGAAATTGCTGTATTCATTTACTACATTTTTTTTTTTTTATGCAGGCCTATTTCTTGTTTGTGGGGTTTTGGATTCAAAGGCCCACTCCAAGGTAAAAACAGCAACTACAAAAAACTCTACCCTGCCTCAAAATCTCAGGGAAAATTTTGACTGAGAGCTAATTCTCAGGGAAGGAATGTGGCGAAGGTTTATTTCACTTTATTTGGACAGAACAGGTGACTTATTTGTATGTTTCTCCTTCCACACCCTTTCCCCCAGGAGTACTTCCAATTTCAGTCATGACACAACTACTGTGAAAAGGGCATGGGGATGATGTAGGTACAACAGAAGATTGGGCTACTGTGAAAATCACCTGTGATGGAGAATAACTTGGTGACGACATCACTGTACAGATAGAGTGGTAACAGGCCATAGTTTGCAAACATCACGTTGTGAATAGTGTGGTGAGGATATGCCTTCTGTGGGAGTAATACAATTCTGTGATTATATATATAATGTGTAATTACCATGGCAATGAGATATTATCTGTTAGAACAGCATGCAACATGTCTAATCTCTGAGCAAAGTGCCAACACCTAGATATGGTAGGTCCAGAGGGAGTGCAGTGGTGGGATTGTACCCTGCTTTCTGGACCATGCTGTAGGAACAGCAGTCTGCAAATCAGGAAAGAACCCATCCCCTGCCCACTCTTGGCGCACCCTTTCTTCCCTTCCATGCTCAATGGCACCCCCCTCTTTCCTCCCATTTCCTGGTCCCTCTCTCTACTCATGCATATGGTGCAGGAAGGGGTCAGGGAGTTCCTGCCCACCACCACTGTTCTGGCCACCCTTGCCTTGCTACAGCTGGGTTGCATGGGAAGTGGCTGGGTGGGGAGCTGGGCTTGGCTAGGGACAGTAGCAGTAGGAGGTAGTTTCCCCTTCTGGATCTAACTTATCCATTTAGGTGTTCTGTGACAACACAAATGCTCTGGAAATAACAGATGATGAAGCCATGTTCAACTACCATGTTTGACGTCATGATTCAGTATAAAATAAGTGTGACAGAAGGCTTTGACCAGAACACTTAACTTATATGGTATCTGTTGTACAAATGGACACTTATTGTATATTTCAAGCCTTGCCTACATTATAGATTCTAGTTACTGTAGCTAAACCACTGATTTTACACTTACGTACTGGTAATTTAGTTAAGATAAGGGTTAACTGCTCCTGTTTAATCCCCACTGCATTAGTGTAATTTGTGTCCACACAAGGGGTTTGTTCCAGCACAGCTATGTTAATGGCTGAAATCTTAATATATGCCTAGTTTTCTTCATGCCAACTGCACCTCCCAGGTGCCTGCGGAGAACAGGGTTAAATCTTTTCGAATAAATATATTATGGATTTGTTACCTGCTTTATATATTTTATAAAAATTGACCCACAAATTTAATCAGGAACTATTTGGGAGTTAGATTCTGTTAAACATTTAAATTCCTACAAAACTTGAAAGCTGCTCCTTTTCAAGTTAGCAGCATTTTGAGGATGCCAAAGGCAGAGTTAACTGGGTTCAACCAGGGTTTTTTCCACTGTTTCTCTCTTGCTTGCAGCCTCCAGCAATTAAGATCTAGGAAAGCTCTGATTCAGAGGCTGTATCCCTAATTTGCCATCATTTCAAAAGAAGCAGAATCAGACCCTGAGTAAAGAGACCTTCCTTGCAATATTTTCATTGTCTCTCTTTCTTTTTTTTTTTTGTTTGAGCTGGATGTAGTGTGAGGACCATCCTTTCTTCTGGTTATATGGGCACTTGCAGCCAAAAAAGGCAGAGGAGGAACATGAAAACGATTGTATTTTAGGAATAATATGACATGAACTTTAGGGTGAAAAGTTGATTTGAATGTTATCCAGTTCACTCCACATTTTTACAACTAGCCTGACTTTGAAGCAATCCTATACATTTATGGGATATGATGAACACACAGGAATTGATAGAACCCTAACTACAAATGACTATATTATTGATTAGTGTTTCAAACTTGGGTTGGACCTAGACCCCATGGCTTTCAATGGCACTGGAGGTACATCAGCACCTTTTGAGGCCAAGTATGAGGCCTGTCAGCCATGTTGAATTCCAGGAGCAGATGGGACTGGACAAAGGTTTCCTGTTGGAATGGACTTTCACCAAAAAGTGAGTTTTCAACCAAATTAAATTTTAACTAAAGGTCTGCACAACATTGAGGCCTTCTTGAAGAATCAAACAGTTGAAAAGTTTTGGCCAGAAAACCTAAATCATTTGGCTGATAATTTTTGGCCAGAAGTTCAGTTTTGTCCAAAGTTTTCAGTTTTTGGCTGAATACTTAAAGCTTCTGGTTTTTAGCTGTAAGTCATTTTTTTCTATGGCAAGCTTACCCATCTGCAGCCCATCTACAGCAGTTCAGTTTAGTGCAATTCTTCTTTGGAGCGTTTCCACCTCTACAACCTCCTCAAATATGTGGAGAGACTAGGGCTCAGTCAGATGTAGATCTCCTTGATATTGCAGTCCTAATCTTTTGGTAACTGGCCAGGATCCATCAAAACATTTGAATTAGTACTTCACTTTCCTTCAGATGCAATAGCATATTTTGCTTCCATAGTTTGATTGATATTACTTTCTGTGGTGTCCTTTACTTAATGGTGAAATTATTCAGCTGGCTCCAGAACAACTGTGGTAGAATCATATCCTGCTACAATTTCTTCCTCAGATAAGGCAATATGTAAAAAATGAAAACGAATATGGGTATTGCATGTTGGGACTGTTATGAATATTGTGTAGAAGATGTATTGGCACGGCCTGAGGATCCTTCTCTGATTGCTGGTGCACAGAAGTAGGTCACCCTGGTAAATGACCAGCAGATGTGCTGCCTTCCTTCATCAGAGGTTTGGGGGTTGCAGGGACAAGCATATACCTTAACAGGAGAGAGTTTCTGTTTGAATTGCTGTGGTGTGACCAGCTCATAGCATGCTTTGCTGACATTTTAGTGTGGTTTTTGTGTTAATGCAGACACGCAGTATGCCTGAACATTTCAGGGGTAGTAGAGTTGTTGATCAGCTGAAAGTTTTCAGTGTAAGAAATTTTAGCAAGAATATAGATGAAAATCCCTAAAAAGAACAGTTCTCTCCCAACACTGGTAAATTTCAGGAACTTACACACATCCTAAAAATAATTTGAGAACATTTTTGCATAGATGTTATGAATTTTTATTTGGGAGGGCAAAACAAGGATGTCATTGCAAAAAGGCTTCTGGATTTGCCAGATATACCCCCTCAAGTGAAGTCTCCCATGTCACGTTACACAAGAATATTCAGAGAAAAGGAACTCCTTGGTTGTAACTTTCATGTGCTTATATTTGTAAAGCTGTAAAGAGATGTCAGGATTCTGTTTTCCATTAAATGGAAGGAATTTACCTTTTTTGTGGGGGAGGGGCAATATGGGGGTTTTTCTATTTTGTGCAAGAAATCATTTCAGCTTTGAAATATCACAGAGAGAATTGCTGTTCCCTCTTTCTTACCCATACTTTGCTTTTTTCCACAGTTTTTAATTTATCTAGAAATAAAAGAAACCTCCTCCAAAAATGCATAGTTGATTGCTGCATATGAAAGCCACTACAAAGGTCCAGAATCACTGTTTACCTGGCTTTCTAGTTTTCCTCCTTAAGTTGATTAACTGTCAGAGCATGGACCAGTGTTACTGCCACTATAAGAGCCAGTTACAGAACTGAAACCATCCAGCCCTGGCATAACTAATAACACAGATGTGTGGGAGTAGAGATGAGGCCTTACTGTGGCCATGCAAAGTGTTCACAATTCCCTTATCAGGGATGTGGGGATAGAACACCCTGAGAGTGAGCAGCACTGGCAGAAAAGGGTGCATAACCACCACGGTTGGGGAGTGAGCTGCTTCAGAAGATTTCTTAAACATTCCACTAGGACCATGATAGATCATGACAGACCAGGACAGTCTATAAACTCACTAGGGGGGACCAGAAGGGTTTGGGAGAGACCTTGTTTCCCCTAGTGCCCTCTGGCATAACAAGGAATAACGGCCACAAGTTGTTGGAGAGTAGGTTTAGATTAGACATCCATAAGAACTACTTCACAGTTAGGGTGGCTAGGATCTGGAACCAACTTCCAAGGGAGGTGGTGCTGGCTCCTACCCTGGGGGTCTTTAAGAGGAGGCTTGATGCCTACCTAGCTGGGATCATTTGAGCCCAGTTTTTTTTTTTCTTCCTGCCCTGGCAGGGGGTCGGACTTGAAGATCTATAAGGTCCCTTCCAACCCGACTTCTTTGATTCTATGATCACTTTCTCTCCTGCCCTCAGCAACACCCCAGTGTAGGTGGTGATGGAAACTCCCCTGCCTCCCAAGGGCCAGTGAATTGTCTGCTGGATGCAATTCTGGGCAGATCCAGAATTTTGAACAGGGCTATGTAGGTGGTATGGTACATCATCACATCAACACAGACTTTTCTCTAATTAAGAAGACACTAGAAGCTTTACTAATACCCTTCAGGCTTAAGGCTATATTATTCAGTTTAAGTGTAGTTTATTATTCAGTTTAAGATCCAAGCAAAAACAGATATCATTGAGTTTGGGAGTGGGGTGCATGGTGACTGCCAGCTCCAGGTTGGAGCGGGCACCCAGTGCCAGGGGAGTGAAGCTGTTATCCCCAGCCTTGCCATGGACAGAACTGCTCATGTGGGTCCAGACACTCCACCATGGCCCCGAAGTGCTGTTGCCCTGTGGGGTCAGACCAACCCTCAGGATCTCAATATTGCGCTGTTAGATGGGAGGGTCACACCCCCTCCCCCCCCAGCCAGCCTAGGCACATACATACCTATCACCAATTCAACCACATACACACACCAAAAATTAGACAACAATCAGTTGTCAAAACCCACGCACAGATCCCTAATTCGTATATGATGCACACAATGACATACATATTCATCGGCTCACACACACACCACCTACCTACACACACACACAGGTGAGTTCCTAACTTGAATGGTATGGTATCTAATGTGTGCATTTGGGGTACCTGGGATACCTAAGGGAAGGTTAAGGTGAGAGAGAAAGTGTAGGGAGTGAAAGCTGCTGGAACCAGGATTAAAACCGGTAGACTAGAGAGAAACTGGGCTGAGGAACTGAGGCTGGGGGTTACTCAAGGTCAAGTGGCCCCAGGGTTACTCAAAGTCACTAGTGCAAGGGAAAAAGCTTGGTGGCAAGGAAGAGATAGACAGGAAAGAAACTGAGGCAGAAACCTGGGAGCTTGGGGCTGGAAACTGAAGCAGACAGTTGGGAGTTTGTTGGGCAGATAAGTGGTGGCAAGGAGGAAACAGTCAGAAAACAGACAAACCCCCAACTCGGGGTTTCAAAATAACAGGTTTATTAAACAAACAACACACTACACAGCCCCATGAATTTATTGGTTCACACATGCACATGCACAAGCACACACAATGGCAGCAGGAGAAAGAGACTTAATGGAAGGGCTGGAGTCCAGATAGGGAAGAGAAACAGAGTCCAAGTCCTTGGTTGAAGAGAGGGTGGAGGTGACAGCTACCTATCCAGGCTGGAAAAGGGTCCTTGTCCAGCAGGTGTTGTCCAGACTGGGGTTGCCAGCAGAGCCTCTGGGTGGACAGGTGATATGGTGTGGTGCTGGTCCAGATGGAGAGAGCGTCCTAAGGGGTAGTGAAGACTGACTCCTTTTTATGGGGCAGACTACCTCTGATCTCCTATGGGGAGGGCCTGTCCAAGCAAGGCCAGTCCTGTTCCAGAGGGCTCCAGGTGTTCTTACTGAGCATGTGTAGCCTTGGCACAATGGTGGGTTGCCTCATCTTTTGTTTCTTGAATGCTGAGAGTGGTTCCAAGGGCTGGGTCATTGGTCCAGGTATTGGTTTTGATGGTTCGGTCATTCAGAAGGAGCTATTTTTAGACCTACTGTCATGGTCTCTCAAGCACCCTCATTCATTCCCATTCATTCAGGAACCAAGTTACACTGGGGGGGTAGGTATGAGTCATAGGTTACACAACAGGGCATGGGGACAAGATGGAGACTTGATGAACAAAATGGAAACTTGACATGACTTATGCTAACTTATATATGTAGGCTGAAATCATATAGTATCAGTAAAACAGTAATATAGAACAGTATAAGTATACACATAATAATTATACAATATAAAGAAGGAGAAAAAGCAAAACAAATACAACTTGCTACCAAAAGAAATGCTGTAGCTTATCCTATGTCTTAGCTCACTTACACTTATCTATAGGGAATAGAGAGGGAGAGAAATAGTTGGGGAAGGGAATGCATTTTAATATAAAAAAAGAAAAACTGGGGGTTTTGCTACAGTGCCCCTCACTCCCTTT